GCTCAGAGTGGGCAGGGGTGGGGTGGGGTGGGGTGGGTGGTAGCAGCTGTGCTGGGAGGCAGGAATACGGCGAATTTTGGGGTAGCTGTAGCCTACCCCGTAGCCCATCTCCCGGCTCCACCACCCCGACCCCTTGCCCCAAGTGCATCCCCAGCCCAGATCTCAGAAGCTTTCATATAGGGTCACCCGTCCTATTCAATGTATAGATGAGGCTGCTGGGTGAAATTGCAGAGATTTGGAGTGAAGGGTCATATGTATGCTGATGACACCCAGCTCTACCTCTCCTTTTCTGACCCAGGTCCTGGACTCTCAATCCTTTCCCAGTGCCTGGCTGAAGTTGGGAACTGGATATGGGTGAAGCAATTGAAAGGGAATCCAAACAAGACCAAGAAGATGATGGTGGACAGATAACTTAATTTAGGAGGGACTAGAAAACCTGTCATTGATGCTGTGCAGCCTCCTCTTGCTACTCAGGGTCACAGCACTGGGGTGCTCCTGGATCCTCTGCTGTACCTGGATCTTTAGGTGGTGAACATGGTTAGGATCACTTTTCATCAACTCAATCTAGTGAGAAGGCTGCAACCCTTTTTTCAGACTCTTATCTGCCCAGCATCATCTGTGGCTAAACTACTGCAATGCTCTTTACATAGGCCTTACCTTGAAAACTGTCCAAAAGCTGCTGCTGGTGGCCTACCTTGTTAGGGGGGGGAGGGGGGGGGGCGGGAAATCACCAGGAGCATATAACTCCAGTCCTCTGGCATCTGCTGTAGTTCCCAGTAGTTTTCTGGGTGCAATTCAAGATGCTAAACTTGACCTATAAGGCTCTAAATAGCTTGGGCCTTACATGACTTCTTTCTTACACCCCATCACAATCCCTATGGTCAGCTGACAGAAACCTCCTGCAAGTACCAACAGTACATCAAGTCCAGTTGGTAAAAACATATGGGACATTAATCTCAGCAGTTGCTCCTCAGCTCTTAAACTCCCTCCCCCTTGAGGCCCACCAAAGCCCAAGAGTGGTCATCTTTCAGAAGCACTGCAAGACCTTTCTATTTAGGTAGGCATTTAGAAAGCAAAGCAAGGCCGAAATGTTGTTTAATGAGTTTGTGCTTTATTTTATTTTGTTATTTTGTCTTATTTATTCTAGTTGCCCTTTTAAGTTGTTCTGTTTCTCCTACTGTAAGCTGCCCTGAGACTTTGTTGGGAAGGACTGCATAGGAATTGTATAAAATACATACATACATACATACATACCCATCAGTTGCTGTCAATTCCATGCTCACTTAGTCAATGTGAATTGACCCGTTAATTGTTCCTTATCCTCTGTGCTGTATCCCTTCAGAATGCCCTTCCCTAACCGTTACCCTGCACACACATCTTTATGAAATTGTCCAAGTGTCAGCAATGCAAGTTAGCTGAGCTACTTTCAAGCACAACCCCAACCAGCTAAGCACCTCCCCACCTTCACTGCTCCCGCAAAATCAGCCTGGCACACGAGGGACCAAGGTGAATTGCATGCAGAAAAGGTAATTTAGCTGCTTAGTGGGAAAGTCTTTTTAAAGCCACAGTATGAAGTAGAAGCCTTGAGCACCACCCCAAAAGACCAAACATCCTGGGAACCTGGGTGAAGGGGCATTCCCGACCCAGCTGATCCCCTCCCCCTAGACCCCTTCCACACCAAATCAGCCTGGGATGCCACAAGACCCCTGTCCAGTGCAGGCAACAGAAGTTGGAACAGTAGAGTTCTGGCTGCATACCAGAGCAGCAACTTTGGGGAGGGGAGGGGAGAGGAGAAGGAAGAGGGAAGAAACAAGCAATGCAGCATGAGGTGCCTGGAAGACTGACCAGAATTAGTCATGGCTTGGCATCATGAACCCACTCAACATAATACCTGGTTATCTAGGTATACCTTTAAAATATTCCAAGAGCTTTAATTGATTCTAAACTGATTTCTATGCCTGGATGCTTATGGTTTAAGCCATATTTAAAATTATCTAAGTCTTACACGTGTCCATACATTTAGACAAACTTTTGGGTAGAAAATGCCCTTCTTTTGGTCTCAGAAAGAAACAGGTACAAGCAAAGGTTAATACCAAGTTAAACATTGATTTTTATCTCCATTATAAAAACAGTTGTTTAAGGAGGGCAGTAAACATATGGAACAAAGATAAGTTATCAAAAGTAGCTACAAACCAAGAGAAAAATCAGCTGAAATAGGCAAAGCTAATTATGTAAAACAAGGGTGTCAAAGATATGGCCTGCAGGCTGGATCTGGCCTGCAGAGCCACATGCAGGGTCAGTCCAGGAAACCCACCTAACTTGCTGGAGTAGGCACTGCTTGTGCGGAATAGGTGCTGGGTGATGTAGTCCTAGACCAGCCTGAGTGAGCACTGTGGGTGCTGTATCTGGCATGTGGGCGGAGAAGGGTGAGGCTCTGTGAGGCTAATCCAGCCAATTTCACCCTGTCCATAGACCAGTCTCAGGCGGGGGCCAGATGAGTTTGACAAACCTGATATAAGAGAGTAAGACCGTTCAAAAGGGAAAAGCATCATTATTACCCTCTAAAGTACAAAAAGGGTGTGTGTGTGTGAATATGTAACCTCACATCTTTACAGACCCTAATATTCATTGCTGTCCACTTCTGTTTTATCAGTACTTTTAGTAGGAGAGGGCCCAGGCTATTTTTATACATGCCTTTTCTGTTAACCATTGTTTGCCAATAAGTGTGCATGTTGAATGGCAAAAGTAATACATTGTTTGTCTTCAATAGCCAGGATCATAGTGTAGCTGAGGGAGTGGGTAAATTGGGAATAAAGATTATTAAACTTCCTGGATGTTAAAAACCATGGACTGGTTTTAAGACTCATTACAACTTGGGGGGGGGG